CTGTGTCCCTTCCAGTCTCACTCATACAGGCCTCCTCCAGGTACAGTGCCTTGATTGTGAGAAGATGGGGACTGCCAGTACCATATTTCGATCACAATCTATTTTTTTTTTAACATGTTAACTAAAGATAGCAATAGTGATGAAAAGCCAAAAGTCTTGTGTGAACTGAAAGAACAGAGCAAAGCTAACTGATCCCTCACTATCTCTGCTCTCACGGAACTCTTATCACCAAAGGAAATTCTGGAACAGAATTTCCTCAGGAAACAAGTTACACGAATCAGTATTAAGACATGATTGTTTTCAGGTCCTGCCTCTCCTGATTTCCAGGCCAGCAGGATCCAATCTGCCAGACTTCACAAGTTTTGCTAGTCTGAATAAAGAACAAATGCAACATTTGGAAAAGCATAAAACACAAAGAAAGTGCTAGGGTTTGCAGAACTATTTCAATATAGCATCTGCCTCTCTTTGCAAAACGTTTGACATGAAGTCTGCAGCTGAATAAAATTTCAATTTATTACTCTATGCAAAGCCTCACATGAAGTTATTTTAAAAGAAGGCAACTATTAATTAGTCCTAATGAGGATACAATTTGCTTTCAGCAGATTTGTTTTACTGAAAACAGCAGAAACAATTGAGCTGAACAACAAAATGAGCTGCAATTAGAAGCTGAATGTCCATTGGCCCTAGAGCAATATATGTAGCTGACAGCTAATGACAAACTGAAAACTGAGAGGGAAAAAAATGCACAGAGCTACTTTTATTCCTTGACAACTCTTTATTAAGAGCCAAAACACATCTAGGAATTACAGCAGATCTGGAAGGGAATCACAAGACTATTACCTCTCTGGCAATCTGAGAAGTCAAAACCATAGAAAGGGTGAATTCAGTGCTAAGTGTTGAGAGGATTCAGATCAATGGACCACTGTTATAGACACAAATGCTAATTCCTGAAATGTTGAACACTATTCTCACCAAAAATCAGGGAGAAAATAAAACTCTCTAGCACTATATTTGAAATGATAGAGAATGTGGCATTACTTTACTTTCTGGCCAAGATGTGCCAAAGAAAATATTCCAAACATATATGCTTTTGTAAGATTTCCCCCCAAATTTTATACAGTCAAAACCCATGGAGATGCACTGTTTCAAAATTCATTGGTCCAGAGTTGAGCAACCCCCAGTATTCAGTTTCCAACTGGATCCGAATCTCCTAGCCTCCCATGTTAATCAGATCTCCATTCTTCGATTTTTTTATTAGTCTTTTCCAGACCAGATGTCTCCAACTCTTCCAGAGGCAGGCGGCATCTGAGGGTAGATTTCATAGACAGCCTTTGACGCCTTTTATCTTTCTGGGTACCTTTGGGCTACTCCCAGTCTGTTGGCATGTTAAGCCCATCTCCTTAGAGTGATTCTACATCTCTTAAAAAAACTAAAGAAAATTCCTTTCTCCAAGGCAAAGTCAAGTCAAGCCTAACCAGAGAGACAAAAATTTAAAAGATATATGGTTTCCAACAATACGTATTACACAAGTGAGATATATCCTCGGACAAAATCAGACAACCCCAATTTCTGACTATGCTGAAAGTTTGTTATTCAGGTTTGCCTGCTACTGTCTATACAGCTCAGCATGTAACAGTGAGATAGCAAAAGTCACAGTGGCAGATAAAATAAGGTGGAAGAGGACATTGTCTTGGAGCAACCCCCATGCCCCCCTTGTACTACTGACAACAAACTGGGCAGAGCACGGGGCAGAAACTCTCCAAAGCCACCTCTCCCTTGCTAGGCAAAGGCAGTTATTGTCTTGTGCCCATGTACTAAAGCAAGGATAAACAATAATATTGTGTAATACTTCTAAATCCACAGTTCTAAGTTCACTTTGTGTTGTGAGTTTGTTTGGTTTTATGAGTTTTGTGGGTTGGTTTTTTTTTGTTTTTTTTTTTTTTTGTGGTGGTGGTTAAATTTATTTATTTATTTAATTTTAAACATTGAGGGCTCCTCTACCTGGAATAACATTATTGAGAACTGATTACACATACAAGATCCAGATTTAGAAAGCACGTGCTCTTACTCTCTGAGTGAAAAACATGCCTCTTTTCTCTGAAAGCAGTGTGTACCCACAGACAGTTGGATGCAGCCGTTAAGAATCCTCTCTAAATTCAGTTTCAAGACTCAGTAGTTAAAGAGTTCTCAGTAACTTCGAAGAGGAATAACAGCACTTTTGCTTTACTGCAGATATGACATGTCTAGGGGAGGCTCATCACAAAATAGCTACCTTCCACTCAGGGAGTCATCAGAACTTCAGAGCCACCACACTGTGAAGTTGGAAGCTAAACAAACCATTCAAAATTCATAGTAAAGTATCTGTGTAAAAACATTCCGAGGACACTCTCAACCCTCGTGAAATTGGTGAGTTAACAGCAAATCCAGCAGTTTGCTAATGTAGCTACTTCCTCTAAGGAAGCAGCCAGTCCTAAAGTTTACCTGTGCTTGATGTAGGCATGCCAACATTTAGCACCATATATATATATATATATATATACATATATACATATATATGTTCCTTGTTCAAGAGCCACGGCTTCTTTTTATGAAGGCCATTAAATATGACAATGTACCACACTACGAATATGTTTCAATTAGGAAGAGGGAGCTAATAACTTTGCAGGGCTCTCTGAAGATCCAAACAACTGTGCTCATTTCACAGCTTAGTGATTCCTTAGAAGCATTAGAGAGTCCTGGAAATAAAATGACAATACTTATTAAATTGGCTTTATCTCAGCCAGTGAGATTTTCTTATGCCCTAATGTGAAAACAACCCTTATGGATGATCAGCTTAAAAGAACTGAATACGGAGTTCTGAGCAACTGAAAGATACAGCTTCTTTATTTTTTTCCCTTTCCCCCCTTCTAACACCTGAACTGCTCTTTACATTAGAGTCAAAAAGGAGTTCAGAGTTTGCAAATTCACCTAGCTTCCGTTTGACTACAGACATTATTTATATAATCTGACTCAGATTTGCAGCAAGACCCGCCTGTTACACAGGACAGCTTAATGTGGAACAGGTTACCTGCAAACACTGAATAAGTTTAATTCATGTGACATTACAAGAACAAACTGTTCAGTAGCATGTGGGATCAAACCAGACTCCCCTGAAGTTTCAGCATCCCAGCGAAGTCAGATGGATTCCTTGGGAGGATCAAGCACTCTCTGAAGGAACACATCCTGCAACGGCCGGCCTTGAGGAGCAGAAGGGCTGGAACAAAGCACTCTGCAATACAGATGGTGCCCAAAGGACAATAGCGAGTACTCACTGCAGAGCAGTACAGCAGGTAAACACCAGAAGCTCTTGTTCCCTGCCATTGCTGAAATGTTTACAGTCTTCTCATACTTTTATTTACAAAGCAAAACCTACAATCCTTGTGTGCTTACATTTACACAGTGTCTCTTTCAGAGCAACCTATCTTCTCTCAGTGATTTTTCTTCCATTATCACTCTACAGGGAAAATAAATCCACAGAAATATATATTAATTCCCTTTATCAGATAGCTACTTGCAGTTCTGAGGCTAGTAATTTGAAGTGCAGCTACTTCATTAATTTACAGATATGGCAAGATTTTCCAAGTTGGTGCCTTGCTCATTTTTAAAAGAATTATGCAAAATTATCACTCAAATGAAATCTATTTTGGCCATTGGGGTTAAGGTGTACGGGGAGAGGAGACAAAAGACAAACCTTCACTTTGAGCATTCATGAATTTCATTCAGTGCAGCTTACTTTGTATTCTACTTTGAATCCTGAACCAGAGAACCCAAAAATCACTTACAATGAATTCCTCATTAAAAGCCTGACTATTCCTTAAGTCAGCGGAGACTGCCTCGATGAAATATCCTGTCTTGATTACTAAGCATTTAAAATTATATAAACTCCACTCAACCAGATCCTGCTCTATCTGGAAATAAGTTTTGTTCATAAGACTCTTTTTTCCAAACTTCAAATGTCAATTTTAAAATTTCTCTACATCACTTCTCAAGTATTATAAAATTACTATGATCATAAATCTTTCTAATCTTGATGATAGTAGCAGACTTCCTCTTACTTAGCTATAAATGTCTATCAGACGGTTATCTAAATCCAGGTTAGCTTTGTGTGCTCTCTTCTGGATCTGTAATAATACAAAAGGGTCCTACTGAAGGAGATTCATCAGTTATCTTTAGACAGCATGAACATTCTGAGCTTGTCAACTTAAAATCTTTTACCAAAAGCGAGTTTAGAAGAACAGCTTAAATTTAAACAGCTAATTAGGAGGTACTTAAAGCGAAGAGGGAGGGGCAAATATCCTACCCTTGTTTACAGTTTTCTCCTAATGATTCTACTGGATTAACTCATTTAAATTCCTTTAGACTCCCAACAATAGAATTTCCCTCTCAAAAAGATTGTTTTATTATTAGCTCTTTTCTGAAGCTCCGTGCTAGAAGTTATCTGTTTATATGTCCCAGAAGTAGGCTTGGCTTTTTCGCTAGAGGAACATGCTAGACACTAATGCACCTATGGCATGATGGATGTTCTTATCTATAAGGCTCTGGTGTACAGGCAGAATTTTAGCACCTGTTGCATCCAAACTCACTAAAAACAGTGGCAATAAAACATTCCCACACAACTAGTAATGGCTCAGGTTATTAAGAATCAATACCACTGGTCATCAATACAGTTCAATCCGTTAAATCTTACCCAAAAGATCTGTCAGATTTCTAAACTAAGAGTTGTACAAACAGAGTAGGCCCATAGTTAAACACAAACCCACCAGAATGCATTGTAAAGGGGCTCTAGCATATGAGAAAGCTCAGTCTTAGTATTGTGGCTTCCTGGTTTCCAGCATTTAATTTCCAAAAGGACAGTGCTCTTTCATACCTTACCATTTATGGTTACAAAAGGCTTTGTAACAGGGGAACTGAGTTTGGAATTCAGCCACAGCAAAGCAAACCCAGAGAAGTACAGCAAAGGAAAAAAAAAAGTAATAAAAATCACTTTCAGCCCTGAGCTCCACTACTCTCCCAAGTCTGTCATGTAACAGACTTTTTTTCATCAGAGAAAGCAGCGTTTCAACAAAAACTGTGAGTATATTTCTAAACAACTGTTTTTTTTCTTGGGAGCACGTGAAGCTTTGTGGTTTTAAAAGTACAGTGCTTTGGAAAGCAAAAGGCTATCTATTCTCTATCTGCAGCACAACGGAGGACAGCACAGGTAACTTTTCTGCAGTATGCAGACTGAGTTCTCTCTTTTGTAACTGGATGCAATCTAATAATTCTTCACAACTGTAGCAAAGGTAACAATAATATTTTCATTAATTAAGAGCCTGCAGCTCATACAAGATCACAGTTCTTATTAATTTTAATGGTAAATGCACCTTTGCTCTTACAAGTTTCATGGCTTTGGTGTTCAGCATTGTGCTTACCTACCCCTAAGTTAGAGAGGAACCACGGATATAAACTCTTGAAGGCTTCCCAAAAATCTGCTCTTAAATTGATTCCTTCTGTGCAGCCCACTGCAGCACTGAATCAAAGGAAAAAGTACTCCAGAAAAATTTCAGAATAGCTGAACAGAGCAAGCATCTTCTTTCCCCCCCGCTTTTTTTTTCTTTTTTTTTTTTTTTAAGAAACATCATGTTTAAAAGCTAATAGAATTAGTCTTAAACAACTGCATATGGTTTTAGACAATTAAAAAAGCTAACTTCTTTAATTCACTCTAGTGGCACATCCAGTAAACAGTTCAGTAATAAAGCAAAATTATACAGCATATTTCATAAAAGAAACAATAGTGTCATCTTATACAGTCAAAATATTACTGTTTTGGGTTTCCAAGACAACTACAAGAGAAATTTTTCTGTGAACTTTTCCATCGAGGCTCAGCATCACCTCTCTGTAACACACAGTATTTTTGGTTCCAGATACACAGAAAACTTATTAAATAATTAAAAAAACTGATGTTCCCTGGCCGCAGAACTCCCCCAGTACCAGCAAGAAATGCCTATAACTGCTAGAGGATGAAACGGAGGGTGGGGAAAGGGAAAGAAAGTCCTAGCAGAAATGCAGTTTTGACAATAGCCTGTTTTAAGTGGTGGGGCAGCAGAGGAGAAAACAATGATCATAGGATTGAAACAGAAAGGAAGAATCCGAGCAGTGTTGAATTACTAAAGGAAACCCAGATAAGCAAGTGTGAATGATCCAACTAGCTCTACCTAGAGAGAGTCCTAAGTATGTAAATATGAGTTCTGTTCCAGAAACATAACCAGTACAGAGCTCATATTTATAAATCTAAAACTTCTGCCTACTGATTCTCACAAAAAGCATTTGACCAATAAACTGTCACCAAGTACTGTGCTCCTCTTACAAATCCAGCAAAGCTGGCAATTTTTATTTTGTCTTTATAAGGTGTCCTGAGAATAAAACAAGGTGGCTTAAGTTAGCATTTGACAGGAGAAAACAAAGGGCTGTTTTCCATATAAAAGCAGTGGAGGCCAAAGGATAGAGGCCTGTTTAAAAAGTCCTCATCACTTTAGAGATGTATATGACTGTGTCATGCTTCTTGGTATGACGCTGTATTAAAACATAATATTCATCTGAAAGCAAAACTTAAGTGTTCACTGGAGATTCACACTACAATGTGGGATAAATCAGCTCAAAGAAAAATCAAACCAAAAAAACACACCACCACCTCACTGTTAATATTTATTCCCAACCTAAATTCAAGAGAGAGATCTAGCAGCCTTTCTTCTGCAAGCAAGATAAATTCATCAGTGCTATTCATACCTTAGCCAAATTGAGAGCAGTCTGGAATAGCTCGAGAGAGAGAGGTCCCATCCTGAACTGACAGAGGTCACACCACTGGAAACTCCTCAAAGGATGGGAAAGTAGGAGGAGGTAGAGACTTTCTGCAAAGTATCAAATATCTCTCTAAATAAAACAGGGGACTATTCGAAACCTGAGTGGATGGCATCCCTAAGATTATCACTAGCAGCTATGAATGCAATTATTATACATTGAAATTGTGCAGATAATGTACTGTATAATTTAACTGGATTGAAGAAGATTAGGCAGAGGGAATATTATCAAAACATTTGCAGTTTATACATTCTCAATAAATATGGAACCACCACATAGAATCTGAGATACAAAAATACATTTACATATTCTCTTGAAGGCTGGACTAAGCCTTTCTTTGTACACTTCAACATCTTCCAACTCAATTTTACTCATTCCTGGGCCAATCAAGTCTTCTGCAGTGTTTAATTGTAAAAGATTTAACAGTTTTGTCAGAGGAAACACTAATTCAGCTATTTCAACACTCCTTCTAATATACATAGAACAAAGAGACAGAAGATTCATTTAGTCTCAAAAAATTAACCTTTAAAGCAATGAAGAAATTCCAAATAAATATGTTTCTCTATATGTACGCAACTTTGCTTTTTCTTGAGAGCCAGAAAATTAAGGATTTTCAGCAGTAGTACATAAGAATGTTTATGTAAGAAAGAAAAAAAAAAAAAACCACATGGGTTTCCTTTGCAGTCCTGTGTTTCCTTTTAAATTCTTCTGCACATGCACGAAATAGTGTCACAGATTTTTCTGGTCTTCTACATTTGAAAGCAGAAAACATGTATTTCAGTTTTAGGGACCACATTTGTAGCTAATTTGCTACAGTAACACAACAACGATTTAAGCGCCCCTGTTTTACATTGCCTGAAGACCTAACTGGTTATTTTTTTCTCCCTATAAAGGCACTCGGGGTGATATTTTTAGATGAACCTTTCTTGTTAACATTCTCTGCATAATTTATACATCCTTATCCCCTTTGGGGTGGAGCAGTTCTCTGAACTGGGGGAGCAAAGGCAAACAGCATCACTTAGCAGCCCTTGCAAAGAGCCAGGGTCAGGAAGTCTGTCTAGTGTCAGAATGGGGAACAACGCTGCATTTAACCTCTGGGTCACTTGAGAAAAAAGTCCAATTTACATATACAAGTTCCTTTTGTGTCTTAAAGAGATGGTCTGCTAGTTTTAGATTGTTAGGAGGATGAGTTTGGTGGTATATCCACTGCATGTGTGGCTGACATTCAAGCAGACTTTTAGGGCAATTAGATTTCTTATTAATTCTGTGGTTAATAGTCCCACAGTTCTCGTTTTCCATGTAACAAGGGGGTTGATTAACCCACTGTTTCTCAGTGTAAATGGGATAGCTCCGTGTTCATCAAAATTCAATATATAAACAGCTCTAGGACACTAGATGTTTTCCACAAGTCACAGTGGCAGTACCAGTCTTTCATTTTTTCAGTTTCTCACAGAAAATTAAAGATTAATCATTGTTACTGTCCGTAAGAATTTCTTGCTAATAACACAGGTTTTCACTCATCTATCATTTTCTCCCCACTGTGCTCTAAGGACCTGTTACTCCAGTACCATTTGGTCTCAGGGACTGTGCTCCAGGGCTGATAACACTCCTCTATTCCACTTTCCCCTCTGATCAAGATGCACAATAGGTAAAGGAAAGCCAGCTTAATAACAATTGGTATTTAGATACTGTGGTGCACAATGTTCCAATTTTCAAAGTACTTTGGAATTCTTTAGATTTCTTAACTGTTATTTCCCATTTTCCAAAGTAAAAGAAATGATGGAAGGTTCCAAGAAACAATCACTGACTTACTGTGCAAGTTTCCTTGCTGCATGTGCCTCTCCACAGAGTTACACTTGAGTATGCAGGCGCAGCACGAGCGTGCTGGGAACATTTGATACCACATGTTCTACCTACAGCCCCACTGATCAAGAAAAACACAGTACAGCCTCACTAAAGGGCATTAGCTCACATTCGTGTTAAACTCAAATGGCAGTAAACAGGGAAAGTTAATCTATGGCAATTTTCAAATTGAGATGCTTCTTACAGTGCCAGTGAATAATACGTGATCATCAGAAAAACAATTACTCTCAAAATGCTCTATACAAAATTCACAGTGGATGTGGACGTTTCATATAAAGTGGACTTAAATAAGAAAGTGGACAAAATTCAGTATTCTAAAAATAACTCATTTAGTTTCTAGGGACACCTAAAGACAGCCTTCCACTTTGATGATATCACATACTACCAACTTCAAAATATATACTTAAAATCTTCAACTAACCACAATTTCTGCTAAATGGCCAAAGCTGTTTTATTGCCCACAGACATCTATATTTTTATTGCTAACAGAACTATCATTCAGGTGTTTTTGCAGTCTAAAACCAGCAGGATGTTAATTTTCAAATACCTTTTTCCTTTGATCATTAAACAGTCAAACTGAGGCACTTTTACCAGTGAAAACCAGAAGTAGCAGGAAAGGAAAGAACATTTGGAATATATTTCCATTCATTCCTTGAAGAGCTGATGCTCATCACTTTGAGGCCTATCTCATCTTTCACCAAATTTACATGGTCCCCTACCTGCAGTCACACCACAGCTCTGCCAGCCTGTAGCAGCTGTAGGTAGCTGTAGTAGTCTAATCACAGATAACCTGAAGAGCTTATTTGCCAGCTTTGGTTTGTGCTTGTCTTATACTGTATATAAATTTGAGTCTGAACACAGGCAGATTTAGGCAGGAACTATGCCATCTTGAAGGCCAGCCAGTAAGGATAAACACTAAAAAGTTGCACACACCTTAAACTAAAATCTTGAAAATGCACTGTCTAAAGCTATTTTCTACTACTCATTGCCTTGTGCAGAACAGAAAGGAAAACTGATTTGGCATGAATGTAACATTTCCTTTTTCTCCTTCTGTGTGGCTTCCCACTCTTACCTCCAAAAAGCCCACACAAATCTTGCCAGTCTTGTCAATTCCCCAAAGACGGCTTTTGCCATGTTTTCATGAAAAAACAAAACCCCACAAACCTGTAATCACAGCTGTCAGTGCAGCAGATACTGGTGGTGGGTTGAACTTGTAGTGAAAGTTCTGAACGATTTCTATAGAAACCTATATGTTATTTGTAATGATTTAATGGCATATGGACTCATGGTAGTAATTTTCAGATTCTCTTCAACAAAATATTATGGATCATTTATGGTGGATCATTTAAAATGCTCTTGTTCAAGGGAGTGGAGGGGCTATTGCCAGTCAGTTCTGTCAGTCAGTTCTGAGCTCAGCTTCAGATGGCTCTGTCCAAGACTTAGTTCCCCAGAGTTACTGGAACACTCCTCTGAGAGCAGGTTTGGAGCACCTCTGAATGGACAAGGCCAAGCAAACGTTCTGACTTCTGCAGAAGTCAGAAATCTCAAATACTAAATTTTTAGTTATTTCCATTATTTTGATATAAGACAAGCCCATTTCAAACTACTCCAGAAGAAAAGGCATAATGTAAAAAATGTTTCCACTCTGGGAAGGCTTTCTCTTCATTCAGCCTTTACCAATATACAGCAAAACAACTCTAACTTCAGAGAGGCAGCAACATAAAAAAGACCAAATTAAGGCTGAGGACAATTGGACTGTTAACAGAATTCTCTCCAGAAGTTATCAGGTTTTCCTATCTGAGCTCCTGGCTTACACACACACACGTGCACTTCTTAAGGTACTACACGATAAATTTAAAAAGTAAAAGAGGAGTCTAATGATTACAAAAATGCAGAAAGTTTGGTTGGGTTTTTTTTTTTTTGTTCTAGTTTTTTGCAAAAATTGGGCTGTTTCTCCATCAATTATATTATATTTCAGAAACTTGTTACATAACTACAATAACTGTCATGTTTTCCTTTTCTTTTCTGTATTATATTTTACACCAAAAAGAGGTTGTTCAAGTTTCACAAGTCTAAATCATGCTGGGAAAGAAGCTGGTGACTGCACAGAAGCGAGGGGAGACGAGAGCCCTCTGCCTGGGACTGGGAATGGTTGCATGCTCCATGATGATGTACTTTTTTATTGGGATCACCATTGTGCCATTTTACACTAAGAGGTAATAAGAGCCATTTGTTTATGAAACAAAGCTATTCTTTTTCCTGATAGCGTTATTTACAATAATTAAAACAGTGATAAAATATACATAAGTATATTGTACAGTAAACAAAGTGCTCTAAAAGAACTCATAAGGATTTAAGACAGAAGAGGAAAAAAAAGTGTGCCAAGAATTCACCAGGCACAAGTGAGCAGAAAAAAGATGAAATTATTCTCGTCAGAGCTAAATAGACTAAATAGAAATATTTACTGTAGAAACAAAAAGCCAACCATGCTTATCAAAGCTTGACAAAAAGCCAAGTCTTGCATAAATAAAAACAGCTCAAAAAAGCTCTTACATGGGCAGGAGAGTGTTGTGTTTAATAAAACTTGAGCAACAGGAAGTCATGGTAAAATAGTTCACTCAAGAATTTGTATCTTACTTCCAAATTAACCATCATAAGAAACTAGCACCTTCAATAACCCAGTATGCCACACCAAATATTACAGAACATAATGAATGCTGAAGGAGTTACTAATGCCCACCCTTTTATTTAATTTTGCAAGTTCTGCCTACACACAAAATCAATTTGCAAAATATCAAAGTAACAAGACAAAGAATGCAGCTCACTTGTTCATATTTCAAGATTATGACAGAGAAAGTGAGGACATCCACCTCATTCTTCTTGCTAGAGCACCTCTAATCTCAAAACTATTTGAAATATATTCTCTTTAAAACAGAGTAATTCACATACTTGTAAGAGCTAAAAATGAGGGATGTGGGGGTCCAGGCGGCTCTTTAAAATGCTGTTTATTATATCCAAATGATCCAGCAATTCACGGGTCGTGGGTGACAAGAGCTCAGCCCACAGCCTGTCAGCCACAGCTGTGGGTTCATCTGAAGCCCCTCTAGTTGTGGTTGCAGTGCATTATATACTTTTTATTACAGAGCATCTTAATACATGACAATCAATTAATACTTTTACTATTACCTATAGCCTATTGTAATTACTAATATTACCTTATTCATGTTACTATTTCCAATCACAAAAAAGAAGTTCGTATGTTACAGTTTAAGCTAGTAGTTGTTTTACAGTTTTTTTGCAGTGGAAAATTCTGAGATTTTTTTCTCTACTTGCAACATTGCCTTTCTTGTTTGTCTGTGAAAATCTTTTTGCTTTGTAAAAACATTTTTTGTTTGAGGTGGATTTACCCTTGGCTCTAAGTCATAAAAGCCCCTTTCAACTCACTTGCTCTTTGCCTTCTAGTTGCCCAGTAAGACTGGCTCAGCAATTCTTTTCTTCTATATCAAAACTTGCTATCATTTCTATTCCTTCTTCAGATTCTACATTCAAAGATCTTTTTGTTACACACACGTATCTGTGAGACCTTCCTGTCAAATCCTTATCCTTCCCAACACATATTTATTTTCCTGCCTCCAGATTACATTACAAAAGACAGATACGTGTATCAAGAGCAGTTTAATAAGAACTGGAGTGAGGCTGTTTCTTGACTTTCTTGGCCACCAAAGCGTACTACTGTGAGCAAAATTTAGCATGTTATCAATAATAGAAATGTAATTCTTAAGAAAAACAGATAAACAATGGCAGAAATTAACTTTTTCCAAACAAAATCCTGCTATTTATTTATTGCCCATGCAATAAAGAAAAAGAGAAATGGGGAAAAACATGGATAATGATCTCAGTTCTGAGGCTTATCGAATGAAATCAGTCAAAATATTTCTGAGGCATGAAGTATACTGCATTCCAGGTATTTACTACCAAACTTTAAAATCCATAGCAATTTTTCTTTCTTGAATAACATGAAGCTGGTTACAGACGGGGAGTTCAGAATCTAACTGAAAAAAACCCACAGAATGCATTAAAAACAACAGCAAAACCAGCAAAAACAACAAAAATGCTTTCCCGAGCTTACTCGCTATGGCAGCCCTTCTCCAGGTGCAGCCCAGATTCAGGGTGGGCACAGTTCACCAAAGCAGGATGGAGCAGCTATGAACTCCAGCCAACCACCACACATAGATGTATTTTCACATGCAACTCGCAACAGATGCTTCTGATGAGCTTCAAAGGAATACTCTTTGTTTTGTTTTTGTAGTGTTTGGACAACAGAAAGTGTGTGCAAGGTACTCAAAGCCAACATCAAGGACAAAGTTTTCTGCCCAAACAGTGAAGGCTCAGAGGATGAGGAAATCTTTCCTTATCCCTGTCTACAGGTGTGGGTTAATCTAACAGCCTCAGGACAGGAGGTTATGCTCTACCAGACTGAAGATACACTGGAAAGAAATCCTAAGGTACTTGCACCACAGATTGCATACTCATTCTCTGCTATTATCTAACACTGTTGAGGAGAGAGGCTGATAGATTTTAAACCAAGCAACACAGTAACAGCAGGAGTTACTCACTGATCTTTTAAATGCTAATGTCTGGGCTTAGATGAAGGCAATTTTAAAACATTCCAGAAATTACATAGTTTTATATTTTATTTTTAACATTGCATTAAATATTACGTTAATACTTTTTAAGGAATTACACCAACACGAATATACAACACTTATGAACATTTTAAAATATGTAAGTGTCCCAGTTGAAGACCCTTCATAACAAATGGTTTATAAGCTGTGGCTTGCTCAGTTCCTTGTTGAATTAGCACATGAGGGGCATCAAGTTTAAAACTATCCAAAGTAAGAGCACAAATCCCAATTTTACTTGTTTTTCAGGTGTATATTATGAAGCAGGGAATAAAGGAGAAAATGGCAACATGATGCACATTTTAGAGAGAAAGAAGAAACAAATCACAATTCTTCAGATCTTGGATGCCCAAGACTGAAGTACTTTCAGAAGCCAGAACAAACACATTCAGATTCCAAGTGCAAAGCATTTATACAGGTTAGAGCTTCCCACAGTGCACACCTAATAGCATAGAACGCTTCAGCTGAAGAGAATTTTTCTAACTAATGCCTATCTTTATAATGACTGTCTCGGGGAAAGCTACATGCACTGAAGGAGCAAACAGAAATTACCAACCATAGATGGAAATTAGAGTCTTGTTCACTGCAAAGGGAGGCATCTTCTTGATGTCCTACCTAATTGCATTAATGCAAGTAAAATTTTCAGGTCAGGAACCATCCCTGCTTTTGCCTTGGCTAGGTTCCAGTTTAGTACATTCAAGCATTATTATATACACAAAGTAATACTGCAGAAAGAAAAAGTTCATGAACAACAACAACAACAACAAAAGTATGACTGCTTCGAAGTCTATTTCCACTGAAAACTAAAAAACTCTGCATTATTACTACAGGTTAAAATAGTTCTGTTTTACAAGGACAAGTAGGAAGTCTCCAGCAGCCATGCTTGTTGTATTTTTCTACTATTTACAACCAGAGGCCTGCAGTGAAACAACTTCATTCTCATGCACACTGACAAGCCAGTGTGAATTTCTGCACAACGAACACTTTCCTGCTGTGGCAGTGCCTAGAACCTCTGTTAGGAACTGGAGCTTGGCACTGTAATAATGGAGTGACAGTGTCAAAGACTGCAGGGGTTTTTTGAGTACATATGTTATTGGTTTCCAACAACATAACTCCAATCTGTAAATCTGCAGACTAGGGGCATAGACATGCTGATGGAATCAGGGAAGTGTGGCATGGCAAATGGACAATGGAACCAAGACAATCTCCAGAGATGCCAAGCCACAGAAGATTTTGTCAGTACTAGCATGATTTTTTCACTCAACCTGACTTAACTAAAAACTTTGGAGTATTTGTTATAATGAATCACCTTGATTTCTTATTTCAGTGCTCATACGTCCCAGATAACTTGGAGAACTCTAAAGAAGTTAAAGCACGAATAGAAACAATTGCAAGCAATTTCAAAAAATACCAGACTTTCCCGTGTTACTATGACCCAGGAGGAACACAGACCAACGTCATTTTAAGCAGACTTTATCCCTCAAAAGGCCTCCTCTTTGCTTTCCTCTGGCCTACACTCATGTTTACTGGTGGATGTCTGATTGTTGTTCTGGTAAAAATTAGTCAGTATGTTTCTGTTCTTTCTGCTTGGCAGTAAAAAATACGTATCTAGCATAGACTACTGTGATTGTTGGAAGATAATAAGATGCCTTTGTTCTGCCTGTCTTATTGGCATTTTGTGACTCTTAATATGCCAGGTGTCGATTCAAATGCATGCATTAAAAAAATTGAATAGCAACCACTACAGATGCCAATCCATTACATAAGGACAAAATATAAAACTGATTCCCAGGAATGCCTGAACACAACTCATAAACACACAGACTTAGTTACTCGCCATTGTTTCCTTGGGCTATAAGAGATACAGCTGCTTTACAAAGCTACAATTCACATTTACTACTAAACTCTTCTTACTCATTTTAGATAGGGTGCTAATTTTCTGTCTGGTTGAGATCAGTTGGTGCCATATCCATATACATCATCACTAGCAGACACACCAATACAGTGTGTACTCATGGCACACTCATCTGTTGAGAAAAGCAGCTTTGTTATGGTGCAAAAAGGTTTATTTTTTTATCATGGATCTCTCTGCTTTTGGGAAAGGGAAGGGAGAAAGCCTCTTAAAACAAAAATACACATACACAGACTTTACAAAATTTGTACTCTAATAATCTGACACCAATTGCATATAAAGAAATGTGTGCATAAAGTACAGGGTATGACAGTACTAAGTGGTAACGGCCCATTCTAAAAGTATGTTTCTCTGTTTAAGTCAAATCTTAGCCTTGCCTTATTTGAGACAAGTGTCCCACTCAAGAAAGGCTACCTGGCTGCCATTTGCATAGATTATAAAACCGATTAAAAAGTAAGTTATGATATAAAGAATGTAGTGTCCTGGTTCTAGCCAAGAAAGGGTTAACTTCTGCAGTAGCCAGGAGGGAGCATGGCCAGGACCCAAATGTTATTCTGCAGCACCTCACCTCATCTTCCGGGAAAGGGCTGCCTGCCAGCTGGGGTAGCACTGCAGAAGAATGGTCAAGTGTTGTCGGGGGTGAGAAATCGGGTGCAAATGGTGTCTTGTACACGCTTTTATTAGCATTGTTGCTGTAACTGTTCCTTGTCTTTTCATTGCTGTTTCCAGTAAATCTTTCTTATCTCAACCCATGATCTTTGTATTTTGTGCCTTCAGTTCTCCTCTCCAGATCATCAAAGGAAGAGGAGAGGGGATCAAACTTTGATACGGAGTGTTTCTGTAGGAAAACTAAATTGTGGAATACCATTCCTAAACCACAACAAGTAAAATACATCTGTGATGTCTTAATAAATACAGCAAACCAAAGTAACCACAGACATTTGCATGTCTAGCACCGAGATACTTCAAAAAGAGATACATTTGTTTCCAGAGCCCAGACTTCTAAGAATGCTCTGATGCATGTATAGAGACTTCCTCTGTTCTCTGAAAATTACTGTTTCTCTCAGTCAAATTTCAAATTGCCCTTGGACGCAGGTGGAACATAAGATACTTCCTGCATACTGTATTTGACTGTCATCTGGGACAAAACGGGTACAAAATTTTCACTACACAATGATCCACTAGGAGCTATCATTCACATGGAAGCCTCAGGGCTTAGGTACAAATTTAAATTTATTACATTACAGTTTAATCATTCTCATTAATGTGGTATAATTCTGTATTGCTTATTGTAAGAAAGGCTGAAATATTAACTCAGTACATGCATTCTCAACATTACTAACAAAACAATGTCAGAGTTTACTTTTCACTATGATCAGCAAATGAAAAGAAGTGGCTGCTAAAATTAAAAAAATTTAAAAATAAAATAAAATAAATAAAAATAACTTCCAAAAATTAATATAGGAGAAAGGATGAAAGTACATTCTCGCACGACACATTTGTGAAATGCATCACAAGTTGTATGAATTTACAACTCAAACCTCTCTCATTCCAGCAAAGTGAAAGTTCAGCTGGCACAGATAGAGATGGGATGGGAAGGGGAAGAGATCCTGATTCGTTAGTTCATAAAAAGCTGAGACAGAAGTGTGGTAACAGCTGAAAAAGTAAGCTTACAGGTGGGATAAATTGTTGAAGCTAATGCACTGTACTGGTAACAAAGGAGGTGAACAAGCTAGCTGTGAATAGGCTTTTTGAAAACTTTACTCCAAATTTCATTTTTAAGCAGTTTTATAGTCTCCAGATTGCACAGTAGAACTTGCTCATGACTACTTCATGCTCCGTCCAGCAAATTGGTAACCTACCACTTTCAGTTTGCTCCCCTCCCAGCTCAGCAGAGATCAATGGAGGTTGAAGGTTGCTGGCAGACCCGACAGCTCCACTCACTGAGCAGTCAGTGACTTGGGTTTGAAGAGCAGAAATTAACGATCTTGCTGAGCTCAGAACTCAGCATGAAACATGAAGATTGGGAGTAACTGCTCTCAAATCTGTCCTTGGCTTCCCAAGACTACCGCTAAAGCCACATCCTCCTCACCTCCTTAATTATAGTTATCCCTCTTAGTAGCAGATGAAAATTTATTCAGAGTGCAAGCTGTGTCTCCAGACTTATCTCCCCCAAATATCAAGTGAGTCAATTGTTATATAAAAATGGTTATTTCCCTCCAACTCATATCCATTGCAAGTACCTGAAGAAAAACTTTACACAAATTCTTTCCTCTAGCAAAGTAAAATTTCTTGTTTGGACAAGAAATAGTCCAAGTTAAAACAGCTGTGAAGAGGGAAAAATCACACAAAAATTGGGAAACTCCAGGTTTCTGGTTTCTTGCCAAACACAGCTTCCTCTTTTGCCCAAAAGAAATGGGATGTTAATGTGAAAAGCCAAATATTCTATTGCAGAAAACAAAATGTACAGACACCACAGAAGGCTGTTCTTATTTCTAAATAATGCTTTGCTCATGTGTACAGTGCTAGTTATTTTCTACATCTTTGAGATCTTGAAGTCAGATATTCTTTTTCCTTCACACTTTCACTTTAATTCAAAACTAAGTGTTTTTCCAGTGCACGAGGCTGATGAATTACTCTTTTGAGCCTCTCCATTTTTCTGTTCTTTTTTATGTACCGAAGCTATAATTCACTAGACTGAAGTTTTAATACACTCTATGCTTCTTACAGCAGCACACAAGAAGCAATATAGCCTTTGGAGGTTTTTGTTTGGTTGTTTTTTTTTTTTTTATTTTGTTTGGTTTTTTTATTATTGTATTATACCATAAAGTCTACAATAAAGCTCATTGAAAATGCTGTTTTTCTGAGATCCAGCAAAACACACAACTTCCTATGAGAATTGCTTCCATACAAGCAGTGACCATTGCAGTTACATAACTCGCTTTCTCAAGACACAGTAGAAGATCAAGGCATATATTAAGCATTAAAACTACTGCCAGCAGAAAGGAAGCAGCAGCACAAGCAGCTGGAGATTAAATTAATCCTTGAAATCTGTTTGACTATACATAATTTTCACCAGCATTGATGTTGAGACCACAGGAATAGTGCTTGAGCTGACTGGAAGTCGTAAGGAACACAGGAAGAGTGTGGATAGATTTTCATACCCTGATGGATACTTTAGTTGTACAGGTCCTTTATATATCTATATGAATAATAGTGTTTTCCTGAAACTATTAAAAGTCCTATTATTCAAGTGCTGTGCACTCTTGAGAGCAGTTTTTCTTCTTGATGCCAAATAAGACTTGGTCATGGTGATTCTGTTGGAAGATGAAAAAGAACAAAAGTTACAGCTCTGTTATTGAGGGAACTAGCATTCCTCCTAGGCCAAAAGAAGTCCCAAACTGCACCACCAAGAAAACAATTGCAAACATTTTTTAAGAGAGGCTGCTTTTCTGGATTAGCAAGATTCAGATTCCATCAGCTTGCAATAAGATATTCTCCAACTTTGACGAGGCAGCAACAACAGGAGCTGAAGAGGAATCTACACTGACTTGCTGAGAAGCCACCTGTGAGTCACCAGCATGTCTTTGCTGTACCTAAGCAATAGCAGGTGCCTTCTGACTACCTCTGACCATTTGGAGTTCAGCATCCTGCTAACTTGTGCTATTTTATTTCCTGGTCCTCAAAGCAGCAACAGGGTAGATATAACTGAGAAGATGTCCATCCTCAGAGATCCCTCACTCATTGGATAAACCCATGGCACTTGACAACAAAATGCCTTCCAACTGAGTAACTGGGACTTTGTGCTTATTTTTCGGTTTAGGGGATCTGAAGGGGGCAAGGGGAGGATTTAGTTAGTTTATTGGTTTTGATTTACGTTTTTTTATTTCTTTGGGGTTTGTTTTGTTTTGTTTTTCGGGGTTTTTTTTTTTGGTTGGTTTTTTGGGGGCGGCGGGAGCTTTTTTTAATAAGGAAATGAGGAAAAACTTTAACAATTTAGGGTCTCTAAACTATTCACTTCTCAGAAGCCACACAAAATAATTCCAATATATTACTTTTGGCAATTGCGATAATAGAAATAAAATAGTATTTAGTGTTAACTGTGTTAACTCCAAATATAAAAACTGGCTTGAAGTTACAAAAATACACCAATACAGGAAAAATAACTAAGGATTGACTGGAGGCAGTTGCCCTTTGTCAGACCATTGGGGTTGTTCAGCCATGAGAAGAGGAAGCTTTAAAAGGGAGAACTTAGATCCCCTTCCAGCATCTAAAGGGGCTCCCAGAGGGCTGGATAGGGCAGGGTTGGAAAAGTGCCTGAAGTGACAGGATAAGGGGGAATGGCTTCCCACTGCCAGAGAGCAGTGGGATATTGGAAAGATGGGATATTGGGAAGAAATTCCTCCCTCTGAGGGTCGGGAGGCCCTGGCACAGGCTGTCCCGAGCAGCTGTGGCTGTCCCATGCTTGGAAGTGTCCAGGGCCAGGTTGGACAGGACTTGGAGCAACTTGGTCTAGTGGAAGGTGTCTCAGCGCAAGGCAGAGGGGTTGGAATGAGATGATCTTGAAGGTACTTCTAACCCAAACTGCTCTGTGATTCTACTTCTTACCTCCTCTAATTCCAGGCAGATTTTCAGAAAGTCTTAGCATGCTAAAAAGGTTAATCTGCAAGTAAAGATTCTTGCAGTATACTTCAGGGCAGACTAGCTGGCCTGAGAACAAGACAACATTGCCCAAGTAATGTAATGCTCCTGGCAGTTTCTACTCTGGCGTTTTAACATGCCACACTCAAGAGCCTTTGCCAGAATATACTGCCAATATCCATCAAGTAAATGCTCAACACAAGCTTAGGAACGAATTTATTATGTGAGGTGGCTTTATTCCTCCCAAAATGGCTACCCTAGGGTCACCTCTGCATTTTCTGAAGGAATACATTTCTTTTAAGAACGCCCTACTGACCGTGCTTTATGCACAGGACTTCTACACTTTGGTCTTAGTGTAGC